GCCTGATTCCGCTTAGGGAGGGGGACATCTAAGGAATGATTCGCCGTATAACTCCCAATAACAGCGGCATCCTTTGCGACGAAAAGTTTGATGATATGCGCCATAGGCAAAGTGACTCTTTTTTTTGCCCCCCCCCTGTATATCACTAAGATTCCAGTAAATACGTGCGGTGCATTATTGTTGCTGTTTGTAACCTATTATAATAATCAGAGTCGTGTGGAAGCTTCAACTTCAGACTATTCTCATATATTTCTAAAGGGCCGATTTTACGGTAAAAGGGTGGATTATTGGAAATTAGGGTGGTCTGTGAAGCAGAGGTGAAGAAGAAACCATGGGGAACTTGTGGAACCCGAGAAATGGGACCCGTGGGACCGCTCACACTTCTCTCTCTGCTGTCTTATCACTTGCAACGTATAATTAAGAAAGAAAAACCTTTATAAACAAAACAATTGAAATCTGCAGGCTAGGATTAGATAATCGATGGGCGTTACCGGCCAACTGCGCCAAAGGGAAGATCATGCTAGATCGCCGCAGGCACATCCTTCGATGCGAACTGTGTTGGTCCGCACCCGCCCGAACGGGCGCCTGTCCCTCTACCAGCTAGTTCTCCTTCTTCCACATTGGTTCTTGTCGTGGAATCCTCCTTTAAAAATTGGCGGCGGGTCAGTTTAAACCTATCCGGACTCGCTGAAAAGTTATGATCTCTATTATGGGAACTTACCGTTGTGGTTGAAATAAGCTTGGACCTTCACCAAATGCTCCAGAAGCGCTCTTGCTTTGTAAAGAACAACTTGAATACTAAGAGATAAGGCAGTAAAGCATTAATAAATCTCATTTCGGGTCACGCATTTGACTCCGTGGTAGCGTAGCTGGTAGCACATTTGTCCTATAAACGAGAGATGTGGATTAGAATCCTGTCTGAATGAAGAGTTTTGCCCATAATTTAGCATTTTGTGTCAAATTGGGATACATTTTCTTGTGTACGAAGGCGTACAGATGTAGTCGATGTTAGTACAGGCAACTTGCCATGATGCGTAGTATTCGCGTAAACTCCCACAGCTCTAAATGTTCGAGATTTTCGACCTTCTCTGAGAGACCACGATTTTGTTCTCGCAGTTTCAAGAAGCGAAAGAATTAATCAAGAAATACCCTTATGTTGCCGGGAACACCTCAGAACATGAAAACGTATTTATAGTGAAGGGGCGTGGGGAAGGAGGCGAAGAGACTGAAAGGGGGCAGGGGTTGATGAGGCGTCAGCGCATGCCGGTTCAAAATTAGTCAGGGCAACCACGCACAAACGAACATGCATCATCAGTAGTCAAGCAATGAGTCATGGGAGAGGTTTTCTAGTGACCGCCGTTCTTCACCATTTCTATGAGGGGTCAAGTGCATGTTTGCGAAAGATCTACTTGTAAGGAGGTTTCGAAAACACTCATTTCGTCCATCAAAATAGAACAGCTCGAATACTGTGTGATTAGGGGCTGCTTCCGTTTCTGAATTTGTTCTCTTTAGTGACTGAGAAAGTTGGGTTCATTCATACACGGGGATACATAGCCCTACATCTAATATTTGTGGCTATCAGCAGAAGGCTGGAACAGATTTACGCCTATTGGCGACCCCTTGAAGTGCGCTAACTATTGTTCTAGATTATAAAGCGTACATAAAACCGTGATCTTCTTGAGGCACAATAATTCCTCTTCAGCTACCAACCATTAAGAATGGAGAAAGGGTTGAGTAAGAAGTTAATTGGATATCCAAGTGGAAGTCATGCTGCAGGGTACTTTGTATTTGGAGTTTTACTGACCCTGTTTTCAGTCTGTTTACAATGAGCGTTTCTGTGATTGTAAGCGGGACTTTCATAGATCTTCAGGGAAAAGAAGGTGTAAAATTGAAAAGACAAAATTGAGATAAGGAATCTTTCTCAAGTTTTGCAGGTTATGGGTTTATGGCTTGGACTAAGCGCACGAGAAGACTGGGGATGATTAGGCTCTAAAGGGTAACTGCCATTCCCTTTATGCCCGTGTTTTGAAAACGTCGCAGTAGGAGATGGTGTTTCAGAGACGCACCACACGACATTTTGGTGGAGTCGTGGAAATTTGAAGTAGATGTGCAAAGTCATGAAGAAAAATGTAAAGGGAAACACAATCCGGAATATTAATTAAACATCTTTTTGATCGGTAGGAGAACGACCAGAAGGATTAAGAGACACTCGATGTGCCTAAAGCAGAGGGGGACGAGAGGTAAAGATTGAGGAGAGCAGGGTCATCTCGTGAAGGCAATTCTTGCAGAAGAGATGCCATTGTTGGGTGGAACTCTGTGAGCATACTCAGGCCTCGGCTCTTCGGTCTGATAATTTCGTGTAATCACTACATCCAGTGTGTTCGGGAGACTTCTTGGATGGGCTTAAATTCAATAACTTAGCCTGATCGTGCCTTTGTGGTAGAACTGAGTCGAAGTCGCAATTCTTCATTTAGTGTCATTACTGGAAATATTGTCATAAAGGGAGGGTTCGAAAATTATGATCACTAAGCCATCAAGAGCAGATACGAAGTTATACGAACAAACATCCGCATCTGAAAATCAATGCATTTATATTTGTCTGAAGCCCAAACGTTTCACAATTCTCTATCGTATCCTACTTTGACCGCGCTTACCACGCGAGCGGTCCGGGATCAAATCCTGGGTCGTGAGTCGCCCGGGCCAACCAAGCCTTCCATCCCTCCGGGGTCGGTTAATTGGTACCAGACTTGTCTGGGAGGATAAAAACACTGACTTGAACATCGGCTGGCCCCCGCAAGTCATTGTATAGGCCACATCGCATTCAAACCACTGCGAATGTACAAATGGAAGTAGAATGCGTGCCGCATCCCAAAAAGGGATTGATCAACGGCAAATGCTTTATCCTTTATCCTTTATCCTACTTTCACAATATGCTTTACAATTTTGAATTTGTTTTTTTTTTGCTCAAATTTTACTTTTTACCTTATCATTTTTAGGTCGATGCTGAGCTGCTTCAAGCCGGTAAAGTGAAGGCGAACAAGGAGAAGTAAGGTTTTTGAGGCCTAGCTTTCAATATTCCGTTATGATGATATTCCAGTTTTTCTTTTTTTCGAGTAGTTGAGTTGCAAGATCACCTCGAGCCTAGCTAGTGATCATGGCTTTACCGAAGAGCCCTAGAGTCACTGCACTTCCTAAAGGTCCCAATTCCATCACTCCCGAATTTTCCCAATTCTCCGTACGCTCTTCCATCGCGTCACCACTAACCTTCATAAAAATATGTGCTTAATGCAGAACTACTCGGCATCGTGATTTTCGACAAAACACAGGGCCTTCATCTTGCTTCAGGAAAGCGGCCATCGCAGCTGTTTTGGAATTTCGTGGCTCTTCCCAACTTTTTTTCACAAACCCTCGCGGATTAGACCATGACCCCACTATTAGCTATCGAAAAGCTACAACACACTTGCATTCATCGCGATGGCCACCGCAAAAGTTCCTCACGAAAATCACCTTTCAGGAGTTTCAACACCTAGCATCTCCTTTCGCTTTTTGAAACCGTCACATTCGTAAAAATTGCCTTTTGTTGTTCTTTAAGAAGTGATAACCCATCCGCAAGATTTCTAACACTTCACTCTGTAGACGATCTTCAATCTTTTGAGGTTCTTCAATTGTGCGGATTTCTAAGAACCCCCTCGTGTTCGCACGTCCTTGACTCGAATTATCTAACGACGGGAGGAAATAATCGTCTTAATCGTTGTCTAATCCAGCCGTATTTGTCGCGCGGAGAAATCTGCTCTTTGATTCAGGTTCCTGACCGGAGGACTAGAAGGTGGCAGTGAAGAAGAAGACGAGGGCGAGAGAGATCCGAATATCATCAGGGAGGACAGAAAGAAAAAGAAGGAGGAGTTGCACTTTGCTCAGGTCAGCTTAGAAACTATCGCTATTGTTTCTATTGTGAGATTCATAATCTTCAGTCACAGTAATGAAACCTACATTTTTTGTTCTGTAAGTATTAAGGCTTGTATTAAGAATACTGAACCGATGAAAGAGTTCCCCTGGTACCCAAGAAATGGGGTCTAATTGGGGTATATCAGAACAGTTGAAATTTTTTTTATAATAGCTTAAGTCTCCTAAAATCTGAAAAACTTTATGATCAGTAGGACTACTTTGCTGCGTGGATAGTGTTCTGGGGCTGGGCTGGGCGTACAAGCTCAAGCTACGAGTTTACTCTTGTCTTTACTCTCATTTCCCTTACTTATTTTTTTAATTAACTTCTATTTTCTTTCGGGATGCCTTGATCTCTTTCCATTGCTTACTGTGTCTGCATGAAACTCCCTTATTTGTTGCGAATGACGTTTAAAGTCATTGACTCCTCCCCTTCAAATCCGTACATTCATGCCATTTCCTAAAACCCGATTTCTGCTTGAATTTGGCCAATTCAAGAAGTTGCCTCAGTTTTTAAGCAATCGTTATTTCAAGAACCCACCTACAGGTATTCGATTTTCCGTCGCATCGCTTCCGATACCACCTGTCATAAAATTACAGTGAGTAAATTGCACCTAAGCACGTTTGAGAATCGCATCTCACATCTCCTTCGATTCAGATTTTGATAAGCGATCTCATTTCTCGATCAGACAAATCTAACTTCAGAGTCACGAAAGAATCTAAACCCTTACATCATAACCCTCTCTTTTCGAAACCACCGTGAAAGAGCCGCGATGCAGACCGACACGCAAGTTCGAGTCAGAGCAATAGTTTTCTTTTCATTTGTCGTGCCTTTGTAATTGGTGTGTGTCTGCACTGAACAATTCATTTCGAAATACGGGTACTTTTGCGCTAAAACCTGAACGTTAATTGATTGAACTTGGTTCCTGCAATCGGAAGACGCTAATGTAAAGGGAAATGAGAGAGTATGCAATACGATGTCTAAGTTAGCTCTTGAGGTGCTCGAACGAAAAGGTTGAAAGTTTGCGATTGTGGGTACTACTCTTTCGGTTTTAAAAGGCATAGCCTAATTAGCGAGTGGCTTTGCGGAGGCACATATTGACATCGGTAACATATTTTTTCGGCACTAATGCGGCTACTACTTCTTACTTTCTCTCGCAGTAATTCTTCCCGGCCAAAACGCCAGTCGCACCATCTTCCATGCCGCCTGCCGGGCCTCCCTGCGTCGTCACTTCTGGCCGTGCAATTTGCGAGCGGGTTCTTGCCTTTCATGCGATGAGGGTTTGCCCTTGTGTCCTTGTTTCTCGCCTGGTACCATGTCAGTTACCTATCATCAGTCATTTTCAACTATCTTACGGCTCCAGAAACTTTCAAACATTTCACATTTTCGGCTGGAACTTTGGCTCTCATCGGCCAGGGTTTTTCGCCATTAGTACGGAAACTGCCCCGATTATAGCGGGCGCCATGATGGCTCTATGCTAAACGTCACCTTTGTTACACACCTGCTTTTTTAGTTTCGGTGAAACTGCTGCATAGACGTTATTTGTTCCTGGTTACGATATGTACCCATCGTGATTGGTGCTGTTCAACGTGTATTTCCCATTTTCCTGGGCTCTTTCATCTAAAAAAATGAAAAATACGCGATACCAGTTTAGGGGGCAGAGGGAACTCCGAGGTGCGTAACCAAGCACCGTATGGCAAAAGTTGAAGCATGTAAAAACACAGTGTGAGCGGTGCATACCTCGGAGCCCTCCTATCCCAAGGCTCAGTCGTGACTACTGCCAACTGGCAGATGGCGTCACCGCTAAAAATGAATGTTATTTTCGTAATCAGGGCACCGAATTACCCCTATGGGCCAAGTTTCGACGAAAATAAAATTTTGAGATTTTGGGGTTGTAATATTGATACTTGAACAGTGCCCATTTTTCTTTCATGCTCTATCGACATCCCACTTTCTTTATATGAAGGTGCCACCCGAGACACTCTCTCTTAAAATAATGAAATTTTGTAGAGATATTTGGTCTCACCTGCCTCCCAATGTTAGGATATTATGGAAGCTATTCACTTGGAAAAGATTAATTATGGTCAATCTTGTCTATCAGTTATTTGTCCAAGACTGTTTCACTTGTTCTCTTTTTCTCTGTTTTTACGCTAACACATGAATAATATCGGACTGCTCTAAGGGTTTGGTTAGCGCGTTAGGTTCCTCGAATTCGATCCCAACCCTGAAGCCAGCAGTGGTTGATGCGAAGCGGCGCTCAGAAAGCAGCGAGCGCGGGTTCGATTCCTACATGGGGCGAATTGTTTTGAATTGTTGAACATAAAAAATTGAACTCATTTTGCAAATCTTTTATATTATTGCTTTCGCATGGCGAACTGTCAATGGCGAAGGTTAACAAACTTGCTGCAGTGACATGGAGAATTTGTTATTCAAGTGCTGCCTGCTTTTGTTTTGCATGATTTTTCAATATTGCAGGTTGGAGATCTCAAGAACAAATGGAAAACAGGAGAAGTGGAAACGGCTGAGCTGAAAGAAGCTGAAGAGAGGAAAGATTTGGAGCTGCTCAAGGTAAAATCTCATCAAAGTACATACTTCTCCGGCGATGGAACTTTCAGTTATCAACTATCATCTTTGTGAACATGGGATCTCATTAACCCCCTTGCACAACGCTGCGATTTCCGCGTGTCCAACGAAACGGTGACCTTTTCGTTTTCAAAAAATTCATCCTTATGCTGCAGTGGGACTTTGAAATCATGTCGTTCGGGCGATTCGCCGCAAGCTGGAATTGAAGAACTTTCGTTTCAGCATTAGAATCGGTGACCGACATAATTGGATCGAACTTAACTTGGCTGCGCAGTCCGAAACTGATAAGTAATGGACCATACAAACTATGAAAAACGGTCCGAGATCCTGCATTGGACTTCCTCTTGCTCACTGTGTGTGCCGCGTTCCTGAGATTGCGTCATTGAATGTGACTCTCATCGGTGCTACCCTCTTCAACGGTAACACTCTGCTGACGGCTATAGGCTCAGACAGCTAGAGAAGAGCGTACTGCGACGATAGCGCCGCGGGGAAGGTCATGGTAGATCGCCGGCATATCCTTCCATGCGAATTGCGTGTCGGCACCCTTAGGAGGTCCGCCTGTCCCTCCATTAGGTAAGTTTCCCCTTCGTCGACCTTCTCCTTATCGTGAAATCCTCTTTTAAGAGTTGGAAGGGCGACCAGCTTCCACCACCGATACCTCAGGGCAATTGAAGTTTTAATCCACTGAAGTACGCGACAAGCATGAGAAGCCACTCATTGCTTTTCTTGCTTGTGCGCGTACTGCTCAACAAGGTTGCTTATAACACCATTTCCTTGGCTTGCAGATATCAAAAAAAAATCCTGTAAAAGACGGGAAAATTGTAGGAAAATTATCTGATTTAATCTGATTTACTTCATTGTAGACTGGCCCATCAGTAAAGGAACGTTTCCACGAACGCAATGAGGCCGACTCGATCGTGGAGCGTCACTGGGATCGTAGTGAAGTCGACACTGCTGGTAAGTTTTGAGTGTCATGATCATAGCAGTTTACAAAAGCAGCCACTGGGGTTCTGGCACGTATGTATGTAGTCACTGAATATGAAGTAAATTTGACCGAATAATTGTTGATTTTTCTCGCTTGAACACCGTTGATGCTTCTGTCAAGTTCCTCCCTTGGCACCTTTTCTGGTCATCGTTTTCGTTCCAGAGCAAGACATTCACTGCACAGTCCGTCAGAAGTGATGCTTGAGGCTTCGTTTTGAATTGGTTTTCAAACGGTTTATTCGTTGTTTTGTTCAGCAGACCTTGTAGATTTCCTTCTCAAATAGTAACCGAATTGCCAATTCGCAGTTTTCTAAAAACAGAGTCAGAACGAAGCCTCATCGTTGGAGACTGCACGCACACACCGCACCCACGCTCAGTCCCACTGCGTCCACGCTTTCAGCCTTTTTGGCAAATAAATATCTTCTATTCAAGACAATCCGGATGCTGTACGTGCTTTGCTTTACCTGATACGGAAGCGATACTTTGAAGGTGACTGACACAACAATAATCTTCTAATTTGGCATAACTTTTGAGTTTTTTCGTGGCACTTAGGACTTTCAGTTTGCTGCATTATCTGTACCTACACTGCGTCCCATAATTATAACTCCACCCAAGAATTTCCCAAAATCTCACAAATTTAGATGTTTTAGAAAAAGTCTCCAATGTGGCAGTGTGTAAATACAAATACGAAATCGCCTATAAACATCAACTTCCAACTTGAGATCCCAGGAATTTTTTCTAATAATTTTTGTTCAAAAGGCCACTTAGCCGACGTCCCAAAATTATAACTCCACCTCATGTTTTTCTATTATTTTTCACTTCCGTTTCGCCAAACTTTTTTATTGTGCTAACATCCTACTTCTCAAGGGGACAGTATGATAGAAAATGCTGTCTGACTTTTTAAAAGGTCAGGTCGTCGCAAAAACTACTAATTAGGCAATCGCACAAGATTTTGACCAAATTCACGAGGAGCTCGAGAATTTTTTCAGGGATTTTACATGATATGGAGTTGAAGAGCTCCAAAGGATCTCCCCTTGCTTTTCGGTAGAAACAAAGGCCGTGTCACAGAAGAAACATCCTTTTTTATGAAGCCGTGCTCTGCCATCAAATCTTCTTCGGAACTTAATGTCTCAACGGAACAATGTTTTTTGCTTGCGAATAAGTCCCAAGTTGATTCTCGAGTGGAAAACGTGGAAGGCATCATCTGTGGTAAGAAACCATGGCGGAATTCTTGCTGAGTTTTCCGGAAAGGTGCATCCGAGCCGACTGTAGTAAGGTTCGCTCTTACTTGCGATTCATTACTGATTGTCTGTCTTTCTCTTCGGCATTTTTTCTTTCTCCTGGTAGTGCTTCGCGAAGAGAAAAGCTACTAAGGATGAGAAAAGCACGAAAAGAAAAACAAACAAATGCTAAAACATATCGAGCAAAAGCGAACCTTACTCCAGTCGGCTCCGTTGCATCTTTCTGTGAAAATGGGCTCAATTTTCGCCATGGTTTCCTGCCACAGATGATGCCTTCCACGTTTTCCACTCGAGAATCAACTTGGGACTTATTCGCAAGCAAAAATTGTTCCGTTGAGCATTAAGTTCCGAAGAAGATTTGATGGCAGAGCACGGCTTCATAAAAAAGGATGTTTCTTCTGTGACACGGCCTTTGTTTCTACCGAAAAGCAAGGGGAGATCCTTTGGAGCTCTTCTCAACTCCATATCATGTAAAATCCCTGAAAAATTCTCGAGCTCCTCGTGAATTTGGTCAAAATCTTGTGCGATTGCCTAATTAGTAGTTTTTGCGACGACCTGACCTTTTAAAAAGTCAGACAGCATTTTCTATCATACTGTCCCCTTGAGAAGTAGGATGTTAGCACAATAAAAAAGTTTGGCGAAACGGAAGTGAAAAATAATAGAAAAACATGAGGTGGAGTTATAATTTTGGGACGTCGGCTAAGTGGCCTTTTGAACAAAAATTATTAGAAAAAATTCCTGGGATCCAAAGTTGGAAGTTGATGTTTACAGATTACACACTGCCACATTAGAGACTTTTTCTAAAACATCTAAATTTGTGAGATTTTGGGAAATTCTTGGGTGGAGTTATAATTATGGGACGCAGTGTATATCGAACCAAATAAACCGAAGTGATCAACTGTCTCACAAACAAACGTCAACTGTTTAGTCCGGCCATTTAAAGTGGGATGTAGGTTCATATCGTAAAGAAATTCTTCCCGGAAAAATCTTACATTCTTTCCAACACGGATATGTCAGTTGTGATCACAAGGGACCACACACATAGATTTTCACGCCAGATTCTGTTTCTGAAGAGAAACAAACTTACAAAAACCACCCTTAGGTAAAAGGCGCGGAGCCAAAGGCGGGGCATGGAAAGAAGTCCGCCTTGGGCGGCTACGTATCAGGCGACGCAATGAAAGAATCGGGTTAAAGCGTGCGATTTCGGAGAGTAGAGACAAATCGATCGATGAATAGGATGGAGTAGAAGTGTGAGTGAATGCAATAAGTCAAAGGCCAGAAAGAGTTTCTAGTGAAGGCACTCCAAGAACCAAGTGGAAGCATTCCCGTCGCCAGCATTTGTGACAGATGTCCGGCGGTACTTTGAACGCGTAGCAGCCCTTTCGGTTTTTCGAATTTTTTACCAAAACAAATGCAATTTTTTGTTCTTTTCGTTCTTATCGTGAACGATGGGTCTCAAGCCAGTGATTTATGGTGAAATAGAATCACGATTTTTCCGAGAAGGACTCCTTTGAAACCGTGTGGCTGGATCTATTTCGTTATCTGTGAAAAGATTTACTTGAAAATTCTCTGAAAGATGTTATCAAGCAGGAAAGCGCAGCGGTAGTGGTCCCTGACTTGCAGGCGAAGAGGTAAGGGATTGACCCCGCAGAGAGGCTATAGTTCTGCTGTTTTCAGAAATACGCTAAGTTCGAGATGTGTCAATGTTCTAGGGAAGTAAGAAAAAGGCCAAGAAGAGCTCCGAAGTTGGAAAAAAGGCCCAGCTTTTATAACTCTCCAGCCTTTGTTAGGAAATTTATGAGAAGGGGTCAGTTTTTGATTGACTGGATGTTCAAAAAACGAACTACGAAATGCGGTGTTAGTTGGAGATACCTCTACCTTGCATCTACCCCTAATATTGTCATCTGATTTCGGATGAGGGCGTATCACAGGCGTTCCTTATCAAATTGAAGTAATTGTGATATGGTCATTTCCCATTGCAGCTGTCTTGCCTTCATATGATTGGAAGCAGCCCAGAAGACAAAATGTTTCATGCTTAACTATCCAGGCTTGAGGGTCTTGCGATCAAATCGGGAGCACCAGCGTCTACTGAATATTAAATCAATTTCTAGTGATTTTTGACATTTATCGTTTTCATAGAATAGCGAGAGCTTTTGCTATCTCTACCATCCCCACTTCTGATCGTATTAACCATTTCTTGCCGACGACCAGATTTTTATGGTAAAATAAATATGTAAGCACTAAAACTTTGCAGGAGCCGCCGAAGCCAGGAAGTCTTTCATGCAGGGATCTGCCTTCGAAGCGCCTGCAGTCGAGAAAAGTGCCAAGGATTTGGAAGACCTTCATTTCAAACGTGAGTAATTCGCTTTTATTCCATTTCCAATAAGATTTTCTAATCGCTAGATGTATCAGGAGAAGTTCCGAATTTCAAGTAAAACTCGTGACTCTTTGGTCATTTATTTGTTTTATAAGAAAAAACCTTCGTGGTACTCAATATTTCCTACAAAAATTTTTGCTGTTTTAGGCTTCTCTTACCTTCTTCCTCCTGAGCTTTCTCTTATCTACAGTGTGTAATTGGTGACCCTGTGGACGTCAACGGAACATTTTACGCCCAAATTTAATTTCAACCACTCGTGCATCGAGCGATCGCCGTCGAAAAAACAGAAAAGCGGTGTCATGATGGAGCCACGCGCGCAACATCTGCGTTCATTTTATTGTGTGCGCGATGTTTGATGGGAGACGTTGATGGAAGGGTTTCTTCCGGAAAGGGATAAACAATTCCAAGAGACAGGGGCGTGATGGAGCATGTCATGTCGAAAGCGCCACTGCTGGTCTGACAACATCCATGGAAAGTTTTGGGCCACTGGCGGCTCAATTATTATTTTAGGGGTGGCATTCAGTGTAGTGAGGCCATGTCACTAGCACTTTGCTCACGCAGGAAGGGAGAAAGGGCGTTTCCCCCTTCTCTCTAGGTTTGGCTCCGGGGTTCGCCCTGATAGCGCTGGTCGTTCAATCCCCTGGGCTTGCGCTATCGCTTCAAGGCTATAAGCAACCAGGCCAACTGGGTGCCTTCGTGTCTCTGTGGTCCACTGAGTCGGTAAACTGTGGATCAACTCTGGCCTCTAAAGTTTCCAACTATCGGCAAGACGAGGGTTGGGAAATGGGGAATATCTGAATGAGATGGTCCCAACAATGCGATATAGTCACGTCATTTGTGCGTCTCTCTGTTTCTCTTTCTCCTCCCTCTTGCTCCCTCGTTCTCTCTACTCTCTGTTATTCACGCGAAGGTTGCCAAATAATCTGAGCTCACTATCAAGTTGAGGCCGGGCCCGCAAAAGTGAATGTCGACCTGGTTTGGCTTCGGGTTTCGTTTTAGATTTTTTTCGGGTCTTTTGCAGACTTACACTATCAACGTCCACCTATTCCACTACGCGCACGCGCAACCTTGGTTCCACGCACAATGTTTCCCTACACAGCAACGGCTCAAAATGTACATTATCGTGCGTTGGACGGGAAATACTTCCGGCGCTTTAGAAAGTGGCGGGCGTGTTATATAGCCTAACAAGGCATCTATTGCTTATCATAGTCTGCATCAAAGATTTGTAGCTGAACGACTAACCAGGAAAAGGCAATTCAACTTCCCATGGAACTTTGAGATGAGACCCAGATATATCGATAGAGCTTCGAAACGCTGATTACAAATATGGAAACTAAAACTGCAAAATGAACCTGCCAAGGAAGTTGTGAGCAGTCAAAGTTGGGTGGAAGTAAAAGCATTACACTAGCCTCCAGGGCTTTCAAAGTGGCCGTGGAGTGTTGGCAGTGCTCTCGGAATTTGCACTCTAACGGGAGGAGAGCCTACCCTTCAGGGTAAAGAGCGAGGACACCACCTCTGCTCCGAGTGACTCTGAAAGCCTGGGATGCAGCACAGTTCATGTGCGTGTGATGCTTTACTTCCAGCCAACTTTGACTGCTCACAACTTCCTTGGCAAGTTCATTTTGCAGTTTTAGTTTTCATATTTGTAATCAGCGTTTGAAGCTCTATCGATATATCTGGGTCTCATCTCAAAGTTCCATGGGAAGTTGAATGCCTTTCCTGGTTAGTACTATTAATTGGTCATTTTTTATCGTTGTAGAAGAAGATCTATCGCTCACGTTATGGTGCATCTATCGTGTGATTATTCTCATTCATTTGCTTTATTTAATTCCATAACTAGTTTAATTAACACTGTATATGCATAAATTTTTATTCCTCTTTGACTAAGTTTGAGATACTCTTTTTTTCAAAGTAACGTGGTGTGATAGCAAGATATCAAGGACGTTTTCGACAAGAGGTGAAGCGATTGGAGTTCGCAGAGAGACAGGCCGTTCGACATGGCACGAAAGACGTGGAAGCCTCGTGGCATCAAGGCCGCATTCGAACATTTGTCCAGTGGAGAGCTTTCATTGCGGAAAATGTATCAGACAGGCTCTCGTTCTGATAACTCACTGAGGGAAACCACGATTCTTCGAGTTGTGGCTGTTAAGAACTCACCATACTTTCAATTTGAATGCACCCCTCCCAAGGCGTGCCATCAACATAAACATATTAACGGTTACGAATGAGAGCCGGCTACATTAGATAACCCCTGAAAGAGCTAACGAGCGATGAGTACCTTTCCACTTGCTATCGCTTGATTTGGCTACTTCAATGGGACTGCAAAGGAGGTTCCGCAGGTTCCTAATAGCTTGACCTCCAAATTACATAACGCTACATAGAAGTTTCACGCTTATATAAACCCTGATCTACGTCATTCTAATGTTTTTCGTCATTCCGGTCGTTTCCGTCGTCACTAATGTCGCCGTCCATCCCTATCCTCGCCACGCTTCCATCACGTTCTGCTCGAGCGAGGCAGCTAAACCGTCTTCTGACGGCCTTATCCAAAATATAGACTAATGGCACTCTTTAGTTTTAAGCGGAGGAAACCTGACAATTCAACGTAGTTTATGCCTTGCTTTCACGTCTACCATTAATATAGTGAGCTGAGACTAGGCCCTTAACGCTCTGATACGCAGGTCCGAAATGACTTGTATATCCTTGATGATCTGGTCCTTCTTGAATTTTCCATTTTACAATCTTCAACAACCTGATAGCCGATGGCGGCCCTTGACCCATCATGTTATTTGTCTTTTTTGACATAATTGCGACGCGCGCAGAGCTATTTCAAGAGAGAGGACTAGGCGACCTGAAATGGATTTAGAAGTCAAAAGAGAGGGCACTCTGCTCCAGGCGAAGAGAGGAGTAATCGGTACCGAATAGTTTAGGTGGAGCTCCTGCGCAAGTGGAGGGCTGTTTCTCGGACACGCCCACCGACGGGACATGAAAGAAATGATAAGGACAATGTATTTGGAATAGAGCTGTTAGCGTAATCGTTCTTTATTTATTTCACCTATGCACTCTCTGTATAAGCAGTGAAACGTCGCAACCATTTCCGAGCTCAACGAGCAAAATGACTGCGCCGCTCGGGTTTTTGCACGTTTCCCTCGAAATTTCTTTCGAAGGCCTACCGTTTGGCACCTCTGCTTTCTCTCGACGGGTCAGCTTGTAACGGGGTTGACTATCCATGCAAATTCTCTTGTGTGGTCCCTGTTCTCTCACTGCGAAGCTACCTCTGAGTGTCTTTTTTTGCAGTGAGACTGCTTGGTTTAACACTTATAGCTCAGGTCTGTTGAAAATAGACTAGTGCATCAAGGAGGACTCTCAAAATGTAGCTTTGGGATATGCTACAGCAAGCCTGCTATTTTCTGGTTTTGCTTCGGTCCACTATTTCCGGCGTTGGCTTCCAAAATGATCGCGAAATGTATGAGCTCTCTACAATGCTACATTTCTGCTGTCAGAAACGCTTCTCGGTGTTTTGACCGTCGTTATAGTTTGAGCCGTGCACGGTCCCGTGCTTTGTTCCACCTAGCAAATTTGCCTAGTCATGTTTCCTGTCCGCATGTTAGCTCCCACTTAGAACTCGAAGCACAAATGCAACAGCTTAATGGCTTAGTTCGATATCTCCTTGTCGTACTGGTTCGTGTTAGAATATACATATCTCATGTAATTGTCTGTAATGAGTAGTGAGGTTATTTCTCTATACAAGTACTCATAATACATGGGTTCAAGTGTGGTCGACGCGTCGCCAAACCCACTAAACAGAAATAACGCATCCGAGAGATATACTTATGCAAAGAACTTCCGAACTTTTTCCCCGTCCACATCTTCCCTTTAAACTTACCTGTGTATTGAGGGAGAGCGATCTGCGCAAAATGGTCGGTAACTTATCTGCCCACGAGGGAGATGCCCGCTTTGGCGTTGTTTCCTGTTTTGTGTTCCAAGTCGCATTATATAAGCTGTCGGCTCTCTCATACCTAAGTAGTGGTTAACGTCAGTGGCACAAAGCAATCCTGGCAGACTTTGGCCGGACCGTAGACAAGAGAAGTTTTTAGAACAGACCTTGACGTACATGCGTGCTGCATTTTGAAGCTTTTATTGAGGCACGCGAGCGAAGATGGGACCTTTTGGCGCGCGATTTTAGCAGGCGCCGCCGCATCACCGCAAGACGGGCCGGGGATTTTGGGCTGTAAATACGAAAAATTCGTACCCGGCTGGAAGATTCCATTAATGTTCAATGTGTTCACTTATCGGGTTACGGTAAGAAGTCGACCATGACTTGCCCTATAGCTATGAGAACGTTCCAATTCGTTTCACCCCAATCTTATGTACTTTCGCTTCAGTGGCTCCAGAATTATTTTGAAAGCGTAACGAGAACAATAAATATTTTTTCATAACCTCGCGACTGCCTTGTGCTCGATTCTGAGGTCAAACATCAAGTTTATTCACAACTGTAGTGTTAACCCATCAACGCTGAAAGAAAAACTCACCTTGGAGGTGAACTTAACGGATATTTTTTAATGTACGGAAAACCTCCACTAAACTAAAGAATATTTGGCCATTCTGTATGAGTCACGCGGTTTTTGGCTATGTTGCTGTATGTCGCATAGAATAAACACAAAAACCTGGAAGAATTCCCGTGGCTCATGTGCGAAAAAAATTGTATGGTGTGGCATGTTTAATTAGTTGACCAGGCAGTTCCTAAGAGGCGTTTGTGCGAAAATGTGAAGCGGCGTGCACGTAGTTTGCCACGCCGTCGTCAATAATTTTTTTTTTTTTTGCAACTTAAGCAGTAAGGCCAACCGTACAAAGAACGGTGTCAATTCTATAACGGAACAAAGTGTTAGGCGGCTATGAAGGCACTTGCGGCTTTCAAAAATGTGTCCAATGTGATGGTCTCAGTCACCTTAATTTGCTGAAGGACTTAAGCCCAGAGGGTAGTTTAAAAATAAGATCCAGGAAGCAGTCACTCCACCGAGTGGGCTGACCCCTTCGTAAAGGTATAGCACCAACTAAGGCGCAGAAGGGTGCGAAGCAGAGCTGCTTGGAATATGTGTGACCTGCGCTACTGGCGTGTCCTGGACTAGTAGCCATCGAAAGAAATGAGAAGAAGCAGTAAGTAAGTTCAGTTGAAGTTTAGAGCCGGGTCTTATTAGGGCTGGCCTGATCGGGTCATTCGAGCACCATCATCAAGCATCATAATCTTGCTGGTCTAGTTTCCTCTTTGAAAACTATCTCGCAGTCCAACCGCTGTGCAAAAGTGCTCTTCGATTGTAGCAAGAACTCTACTGGTAACCCAGTCAAATGAAAGTAATAATGATGCTCCGCTAACCACCCGTTGGTCACCCAAGTGTGAGCATCCCTTTAGTTCTGCTCTTGTTTTGTTGGTTTTAGCGGGTGAATGATAGCTGATGAATGACGTTTTACTAGTCGATTCACGACCGGCAGGGGCCACTATTGTCTTCATTCCTTGCATAAGTGTTGTATTATGGAAAGACTGTGATGTTGATCCGGTCGTTCCATACAGCTATCCATGTCACGAGCACCGGTTTTTCAAAGGCGACGGTATATGTCCGTTCTTAACGAGATAGAACAAATCGGATATTCGGAGAGGTTCTTTTTGTTCTGCGTGTGCATTCGATTCCGCTTCATTCTTCTCGAACCGATTTCGTCATTTCACTATCAGAAGCTTCACGGTATCGATTGACCGCACACCTGTTCCCTATTCGCGTTTGATACTCCAAGTCAAAACACAAGTCTTTGAATTGTGTGTATTTCACCGATGTAATCGAATTGCTCCAAGAGAACACTCATACGGCAAGGTTTCTATACGGAAAGCACCACTGTAAATATTAAGAGTAAGGGATTATAATGGGGAGGAAAAGGATATCAACAATCCATAAGAACTCCATTAGCCAATGGTCGATCACAGTTTTATTAGACCACTGTTTTTCTTTTGTGAGTTTCATTCCTCCTGAAGCTTCTAAGGTGAGGAACAAGAAAACTTCTTCTGTAAGACGAGGAATCCGGTATAGCGTTCAGCCTGGCATCAAATTACATGGTTATCAAACCTGACGAGCCATTGCATGCGAGTTTGTTCCCCGTCTTCCCATTGCGGGCCATGTGGTGCCCATAGCGCATCACGCTGGAAGAACGACCATTTACTGGGTTTATTTGATTTTTTCACGTTTTCGTGGTTATACTTTTGAACTCAAAAGCAATATACACACTATTATCAGCAACATTTAGTAGGTTACTAATTATTGATAAAAAGACGAAAAGATGCGGAGGTAATCAAAGTATGGCGTTCACATAAGCTCACTTCTTTTCGGGCACTAGAACTATGGAAGAGAGTCCACTCCAAGCGGTAAGCTACACTCTATTGAATATCTTGATGCTACTTTCTCCCTTTTTCAAAGAGGTAGGGGAGAAAGTGACGTGTACGGGTTAAGTACGGGTTAAGAGCTTTCTGCCATCTAATCTGACTACGTTCATCGCTCACTGCGTGCTGGTAAATGAGCCGCATCGTCTTGCTTCTTTTTCATTGTGTTCAGGATTTTATCAATAAAATGTTACCTTGAGGCATTCTGTCAAAGGAACTTTTGTTCTCATTTTCTGTTATACATAAATTAGGAAGCAGTAACGATGGCTGTGTCATAAAATGAGTGTTTTCAGGGCGAGGAAGAGATGTCGCCAGAAGAACGTGCCGCATTGAAAAAGAAGGAGATCGAGGCCGAGTTTCTCAGGTACAAAATGGCCAGGCGAGCAGCTGCCGAGCGAGCCAAACAACAGGTACGATTCTTTGGAAGCAAATCTTAAGAAGTCCGGCAATTTCGTTGTGTTTAGGCTGAGGAGGGTGGAGAAGAAGCTGCTCCCGCCGACGTTGGCTCCATTAAGGACCGCTTCGACAAAGGAGAAGCATTCAAGAGTGCGGAAATGGATGGTATGTAGTTACCAGTATTAGTTATGTGAAGGCATCATCTATGAAGGGTATCTCTGAAATTCAGGGAAGAACGTCGACGTTGAAATCAAAATGGCTGGAAAGGCTAGAGAAAAGTTTATGCAAATCGACGCCTCCGGTGCTGCTCCGGTGATGCCCGGTCAAGGCAGAAAGGTAGGAAAATGTTAAATTAGAGTGTTAAATTAGTCTTACAAAATTGTCACAGATGTTGAAACTGTGCCATCCGCTGTCTTCTCATCTAAAAGGAAAATTGAAAGTCGCTGAGCCCAATTATGCGCTCAATCACCACACATAAGCCCTTGCAAAGTTAAGAAAAAAATCATACAAAAGCAATTTTTTCCATTGCCACAAAACACTACGCTAAGCTGCTTCATCGAAAGGCAGGGGTGCGAGTATCCTGCTCGTCCATGATGCAGCTTGCGTTAGTGAGCTGAGCTAGGGATAGTTAAGATTTACTCGACAGGAGAGCGTATGTGACTCGCTCGAGGAGGGGAAGAGTAGCATTGAATGAAGTTGGCAGTGTCTTCATTAGGCCGATGTCAGACTTTGCGAATCGCGCGATTCGCTAGCGTCTGCGGTCGCGTCGCGGCCAGTGAATCACTCAATTGGCTGGTACCGCAACGCGACCGCGGACGCTAGCGAATCGCTAGTAGCGAATCGCGCGATTCGCAAAGTCTGACATCGGCTTAGGAAGAAAATATGGCTTATGTTATAGCGATTTTTCCGGGAAGCGGGCTTTTGCTGCAGATGTTTTTGATGAATTGTGTGAAATTTTCCGGATTTTATGAAAAGTTCATAATTTCGTGGTTTTTGTCTTGTTATAATCCTGCTATTGGATCATACTTTGTGACTTGCGAATGCACTTTTGCTTATTTGTAGGCTGAACCCAGCAAATGGGACAAGAAAGAGGATCGACCTGCCGCCGAAGTCATCAACAGGAGAGCAGTTGATGATTGTGAGTATTTGACTATTCCATGTTTGATGAGACCTTCTGCGGTTTAGATCAGAAAACTCATAGCCAGTGTGCTGAATGGGAAAGACTGTGGTAGTGACACGCTATTGATTTATTGATTACAGATGACGAAGATGAGGGTGAAGATGCTTTCGATGTCAAGAATCTCATGAACAAGTTCAAGCACATCGCTGAGGCCGAGACAACGACTGCTCTCAATCCGTAATTTTTTACTCGTCTTGTTTTTTCTTGTCGGCAATACATAACCAATAAATCAATCAACCATTCTTCTAGGGAACAGCGAGCTGAGTTGGAGGCCTTGAAAACCGAGGCGAAGAGCTTGAAACAGCGATTTGAGGAAGGCATCGACGACGACTCGGACTTGGCCGAAGAGAAACGACGACAGATGCAGGAAGAGTTCGAGCGACTGAAGAGTAAGTTGCAAACGCAAGGTGGCTCTCAACAACTATAGCAAATCTTTCAGAGGAACGGGAAGAAGCTCAACGGCGACTCGAAGAAGAACGAGCCATGGAAGCGCCGAAAGAAGTCGAAAAGGATGACGTTAATATCAAGGTGAAACTATGACCAGCATTAAGCAAGGGTGTTGAAGAGTATACTGTATCTGCTGGTCAACAAAGGTATAGCAACAGTATGCTGTCCGTTTAGGCTGAGCATGCCGCAAAGATGGCTGCCAAGTGGGAGAAGATCCAGGCGAAAGAGGCGAAGAAAGCCGAGAAAAGCCGAATGCCCGAGAAGAAGGTGGCGGTAAGTCAATGCCTTACTTTTTAGAACGTTATTCTGATCTTTCAGAACCTATATACACTTGAGGTACTTCATTGCCAACCTTCTCCCTTGAAGGCAGTGAACACGATGGCTGGAAGGCAGAAGGTTTTGAGGGCGTCATTGAGCATCATTGGTGATAAGCGTAGGGAGCTGGCTCAGGGGTACCGACAGGAGGCCCGTCGCGCGGCAAGAAGGCAGAGTCAGCGGACGACGTATTGTAGGGATTTCGCGTCATCGCGTCAAGTTAAATGGATCTGACACTGTACTGTACGCCCTACGCTGGTTCAGCCACACCCCTTAGCGCCGTTATACCAGTGACCGCCAACTACGTCATCATAACCGCCCCACCTTCCAACCATCGTGTCCACTGCCTTTAAGTTCTTTGCTACGTTGAGGACATTTTTGTCGATCTTATCATTCCTTTTATAGCAGTCGTAAGGACCTGGTGCCGTGTAAGTAGTTCGTGAGTATAAGTCGGTTCATATCTGTAGCAGACCTGTATTACAATTCTAATATGTATTATTAGCGAGATATAACCAACCCCAAACAAAGGCAGTGTTGGTTGCTAACGTTACTGATGCGATGAAGTGATTAGTCGGAAATAGAAGCCTAGCTAAAAATTCACACTTTTAATAAAAAGCTCATATTAACATGAAGCCAATTCAATCTACTCATGTCGGTCCTGCCGTAATTTGATGGCTGAGGCGTGCGGTCGCGGAACGGTTTTTACGTCAAGAAGTAATTTTACCGTATTTTCTTCAAGGAGTCGTAAAATTTGCGGGTGGTTGCTGTTAAAACTCATGACCCTATGTGAGTTCCCGTCTTTCTTCCGTTTGATTGAAAAACCGTGCTTCGCGATCGTCCGCTACAGCTACCTTGACCCATAGAATGAGAGGAATGGAGGCGATTACTCCCACAACCAGTGATGTTCTAATAGGCCCTTAGCTAGCACTCGCACTCCTAAAGAAAATTTGATAGTAATATTTCTCAACTGGCTTTACACGTGTTTGCGTGCGGTTGCGGTGCGGCGTCATTCAAAATCGATGCGATGCAACCATAGTCGAATGTGACACCGGCCCCATTTACATTTGGTGTTCGAAATCAGCCGATTATTTCGAACCCATAAGGCACATATTCCCCGCCACTCCCGCGCAGTACATCAAGCTGGGGTTTTTTTTTGAAAAACCTGTTCGAATTTGCCGCGCGCAGCACGCCTCAATTTCGCTCCACGCCATACGCGACGTCGCGCAGTGACTTAAAGGAATCTTCCACGGAAAAAGCTCCGCCCTCATTACCACAGAAAACGATACCTTAAAGGAATCTTCCACGGAAAGAGTGATCATTTTGTCTTGTGTGTAGGATTAGTATTATCGAAACTAACGCTTATGTTCCGTTCTTTTTGCTATGCTCATGAGAGTGGGCATAGCAAAAAGAACGTAGCAAAGCAAAGTTATGTTTTGATAATACTAATCCCACACACAAGACGCCGTTTTAAGTTATGGTTTTTCTGTGGTAATGGAGGCGGAGCTTTTTCCGTGGAAGATTCCTTTGAGGTTACTTCCGGACAGCACAATCAGAGCCAGTTGGGAAGTTTAGCTTCATCGTTGTGTGTGAACCTCATAGCTCACAAGTAGAAACAACATTTGATGCGGTGTTTGAAATTAGTCAGTATTTTGATCGATGCTCATGGACAGCTCAACGCTACATCCTGCCATATTTCAGCTGGCTGCTACCGTGTTGTGCTTCGTGTTAGTAGTGTTTTGCGTAGCACAGCAGTACTGGCACCAGTTAGTGGCTATCACCTACCGCTAATTATTCAATCACATAATTTTTATATTAGGCTTCATAGGAAATTTATAGGATCGCATAGTAGAAATGTTTGTGCAATTGATCGATATTTATTGTGCTTTCAAACCCTGACAGCTTTAGTCCAAGCTTTTAACTTATTGCTTCATTTGCCGTTTGTTAATGGTGGCAAGTCTAATCTGGTTCGTTGATAACATTACTACCGTATTCTCAACCAGTTGATTCGATCGATGATTCGTTGCAGGACCAATGAGCGCATCGCACAACCGCTGCACCTGCACCACACCCAAAAACCCGTGTCACACAACCATCTATACTCTCTTGCAACCGTTGCTTCCTCATGATCCGTGTATTGTCGCGACTCCCCTCGTTTGGCCCCCGGCGCACTCTGCGTCTCTGTGTTCCACTCTCTCGTCGCCTTTTGTTGTCGGCGTCTTTCTCATCGCTTTCCTACTGTACTAGTCCTCGGAGTCGTGACGGGGTTCTTCTTCTTCATCGTTTGTCGTTTCTGTATGTAGATTTGCCACCGGCTGACGCCTTCTTATTATTTTGTTGACGTATTTCTCCAGCAATAAAGGTTATCAACGTGATTCGCTGTACACACGGTTGCCGAAGTGTGCGGTGCGAAGCGTGAATAACCTACTAACCGTTTGAGAGTGCTTGATCTGCTCACTAACCACTGACCTTGAGATACGATGGCTCTACGGTGCCACGGCACCATGTACAGCTGCTGTCAAAGGCTTCACATTCATGGTCGGAAGGAGGAAGGTCGTCTTTGTTAACTTACATCGGACACATCTGTCATGTCAAACTAGAGTCTCCGTAGAAGGTTATGGTTATCAGCCAGGGTCATCCATGCGTTAGTGAAGGTTTTAGATTAGTGGGACTTTCTTCTTGGAGGGAGTCTTCGCACAACCTCATTGGCCATTGTGATCCCTTTCCCAGCCTACCTAAAAGAATCGTTCATGGAAAATTCTTCTTCTTTCCTCAATCAAAAGCGGTTACTAGAAACAGATCGCAAGAATTTGTGCTTGAAATGCAAGGTAACAAAAAAAAACAAGCTCTCGAAGATGGCACTTTTGGACCGATGGTGTGCTAAGCGGGGCCAACGGGCCGCATGGAAGGAAGTGCTTTGTCGTTCGTTAGGTGACGCATCGAAAGGATCAATGTAAAGCTCTGAATTAGGAACTTAGTAGCAAAGCGATCGATAGATTAGAAT